TCGTTCCTTTAAAACACACAAATCTCTAACAGCTGTGGGTAAGCTCACTGGAAAAAGCCTGTCCATAAAAATGTTGAGCCAATTATAAATTACAAAAATGTGAAATATAAGGAAAAATATATTTGGTGTGTAAAACTGTCCCTTACTCCAAATTCCTCGTTACCGTTCCTTTTCCCTTCTTTTAAAGCCTGCTCTTGGTAAGACGTGTGCATTGAAAATGAATGGGGATTCAGCAGGTTCTGGGTTATTTATTCATATTTACCTGAACGAACCCTTTGCTTACACTCAGTGTAAGTATACAGTTTTAAATCTTCCTTTTAATGAGAGAACCACATAAAAGCTGAAGGGAAGAAATTGCCTCTTGCAGACACAGAGTTAAGTCTCCTTTAAGCTCAGCCTTACCGAGGTGTGTGCTGACACATAGCTCATTATGTGACCCAGGTTTGAAAATCAGAGCCTTGAACGGTGCGCCAAATGAGCTATCACCCCAGACTTCCCGTGGAGGACAGACTCTAGGAAGACAGCCTGTTTTGTTGTTTTGGTTTGAGAAACCATCAGAAGCAAGTACTCTGAATTTTGTGCTTTTGTCATATCCTCTGTTCTGGCTTTATTGGTTCCTTTGGGTTAGGGATTTTTTTTTTTTTTTTTTTTATCCTGTGTACTTATGTGTATGGAGTGCTATAAATATGGAAAGTAAACAGGTATCTGTGGATCAGGAGAGTACATGGTCATGATAAGTAAGAAGACCAAAGGAAGGAGGCTCTTTAAATTTAAATATGGTACCAGAAATAACACATATCCTTGGAGTATTTGGGGAGGAAAAAAAATGAAGGGATAGTGCCTACTAAATTTTTCTGTTGTGTTGCGTTAAAATGCTTTACTACTTTAATAGGTACTTTTAATATTTAACATATTTAAATCTGGCTGTAATTTTAATCTTTATATTTAAATATTGTCTTTTTATAACAGCCATTTAAACACTTATGAATAAGCCCCTTATTTTTCCCTTTCTTGCGAAACTGTGCTGGGGGAATACAAGGAGGTATATATTCCTGCCTTCCGGGTACTTTCAGTTAGTTGGAGACATAATCAAGTACTGCTCTATAGCTAATATATGTAGGTATTTACCATATGCCAAGTACTGGGCCAGATGCTTTATGTGAATTGTTTGTTTAATCCTTAACAACCCCGTAAGGTAGATACTCTTATCCTCATTTTAAAGTTGAGAAATGAGCCTTAGAGAAGTTTATAAAAAGTTGGTGAAATCATACAGCTGGTGTCAGAATCTAGATGCTAACCCAGCCCTGGCCACCTCTGGTCCTCAAAAATTTTTTTAAGATTTTACTTATTTTAGAGAGCGAGCGCGTGAGTGGGAGCAGGAGCAGAGGAGGGGGAAAGAATCTCAAGCAGACTCCTCGCTGAGCGCAGAGCCTGACGGAGGGCCGGATCCTGCAACCCTGAGATCAGACCTGAGTCAAAACCCAGAGTTGGATGCTTAACCGACTGAGCCACCCAGGCACCTCTGGTCCTCGATTTATTTTTTTTAAAGATTTTATTTATTTATTTGAGAGAGAGAGAGAGAAACAGCATGAGAGGGGAGAGGGTCAGAGGGAGAAGCAGGCTCCCCGCTGAGCAGGGAGCCTGATGCAGGGCTCGATCCCAGGATTCCGGGACCACGACCTGAGCCGAAGGCAGTCGCTTAACCTTAACCAACTGAGCCACCCAGGCACCCTGGTCCTCAATTTTTAACACTCAGTATTGCTGCTCTACTAGACATGGTGTGGTGATTGGCCATTTTTCCTTAGTTTTGTAAGTGAGCATATTAGGTCAGGACACTTAAGCTTCACATCCTGTGGGAATTCTAGTTGCTCCGTCATTGCCACCTGGAATAGTGACGTGAATGAGATCGGGACCGTGTCACGGTGCATGGGCAAGTGTGTGACATCTGTGCCATCCGTGTGGCCGGGGAGCAAGGATGTCGCGGGCCAGGATGGTCTGCAGAGTTCCTTCCAGGTCTGTGCCTTTGTGTATGCCGTGTTTTGTCGTTAGGCCTGCCTCTTAGAATTTTTCTTGTGAAAACACCAAATGTGCCCTGCTTTCTTTGTTGAAATTTACAGTAAGAAAATGAAAGAGAGGTGAAGTAAGGTTTTGTTTTGGCCTTTTTAAATTACTTGAATTTATAAAACTTTTATCAAGCACCTATTCTGTACCAAGCACTGGACAACAAATATCACCAAACCATCCTATGGGCCATGGTCCTCATCTTTGATGTCCAGACAGCCTCACATCAGACATCTGATTACCTTCACTCTTTTCCCCACTATCTCTTCGTTTTTAATGAAAGCAAAAACTTCAGTTAATTGTAAAAAGACTCAATTAGGTACACTTGCCCTGAAATTCAGGATTTAGCTGGGATTCATGGCTCAGAAATTTTTCAGGTTTTTACTTTTGGATTTCATTTGCTTTGGATGAAATATTTCTATCCTGGTTAGATTCATTCCTGGGCCATAAGTTTGTAGTGACTTGAGGAAAACCCTCCCTCCATGCAAAGAATAACCATGAGGAAATTTCCAGTTCTACCTGCTTATCCTATAATTGCCTTCCATGAGACAAGAACCGTGGGAATCTGAAATTTGAACACTCTAAAATACCAGCATCGGAGATTTAGAATAGCTAATGTGTAATTTTTGTGCCAAACGGGAAGCCATCTTATGATGGATTCGGGAGTAGGCCGGCCGTCCCAGGTGACAGAGCTGGGTTGGGGTCGGGATGGCATCACTGATGCAGATTGGTAAGAGAGAGGTGTCTGAGAAGCACGTGCTCAAGCACTAGGAGTGGTTGTAAGGATCCTCCCACTTCTGGGTTGGCGTTGCGAGGACTCCCATGTAGGGGAAACGTTTTTTTGGCATTCTCGTGAGTCTTTCCCAATATCCTAAGAAACACAAGAGAAATAATACTAAACAGCTTCCCTATCACCCTTTATATAGAAGTTTGAACTCTGCCTGCCTGAGTGGTTTTAGAATCGACACTTCTTCATCCTAGGGTCAGGCGGGCACATTCCCCGTTTGCTTCCTCTGAATCTTGTCCTGCTTGGAGAGATACCAGTGTTTTGTCCCTTTACCTGTTTGCTTTTTCCTCTTTGCCTTCTGCCTCCAGTACGAGAGCTTTAGAGTGATGAACTCTCGTCTCAAATCCTTTGTAAGTCTTTTCCCTCAAATAATCTGAGTACTTGCTCAAAATCAGAATGACTCGTGGTGGGCCACAAAATTCTATTATCCGATGAACCTTTTATCACCCTCTTCTTAGTAGCTTGGCTGATTTTTATTAAACTGTGAATCCATAAGGTGAGTGCTATAACTCCATGGTTACTGATAATTGTTTTTAGTATTGGCCTTTATTTTGAATCCTGTTAATTTCTTAAATGCAGTAGTAGTATTTTTTTTCATTATGGCCCCTAAAATTCACACAGATGAGTTTTAATATTCTTGCATTTTTTGGACTTCTTTTTTTATTATTGTTATGTTAATCACCATACATTACATCATTAGTTTCTGATGTAGGGTTCCATGATTCATTGTTTGTGCATAACACCCAGTGCTCCACGCAGAATGTGCCTCCTTAATACCCATCACCAGGCTGATCCATCCCCCCACCCCCTCCCCTCTAGAACCCTCAGTTTGTTTCTCAGAGTCCATAGTCTCTCATGGTTCGTCTCCCCCTCCGATTTCCCCCCCCTTCATTTTTCCCTTCCTGCTATCTTTTTTTTTTTTTAACATATAATGTATTATTTGTTTCAGAGGTACATTCTTGCATTTTTTTTATAAAATACCTCTATTTAAAATTTTTTTTACCACTTATCACAGTTGATCAACATTCTTAAATATATTTGAATATATTTTTATATACTTAAAAATGTACTTGCATTTTGCTTTGTACCATGGAGTTGATATGAATATATATAATGTTTCAAGAACCAGAACAGTTTTCCTTGAAGTCTGGATTTTGAGGGTTGGTTAGGTCGAAAATTGATTGCACATCTTACCGAATTCATACTGTGTGTATGGATGAAATCATACTGTGTGTGATGAACATCACTAGAAAGGAAATAAAGCCCAAACAGTGCAACAACATGAAGAGCAAGCCGAATGAAATGGGGGTTGACGGGGCAAAAGAACCTTTGCCTCAGCTTTTTAGGCCCATGTGTTAAATGACAGCCATGAGCTTTAAGCATTTAAATTTATTGAAGTACTTGTACAGTTCTTTTAGGAAAAGATCATATGATGTGTTGATAAGAGTATATACACTTGAGACTATGAATCTTATTTCCAAAATTCAGTAGGCTTTAAAGTATAAAGCCATGGACTTTTCCATAGGAGAACAAGAACCTGGACTTGATCATTTACGCCCCCCACCCCCAACCCACACTGGAGTCTCATAAAAGTCAACTTGCTGTTCTGTTGGCCTGATCCATGTTTGGCATGTTTGAAACTGAGCTCTCCCTAATTTAGTTTCCTTTTTATTTAAGAATAGATGCTTGTCTGTGCCACAGGTATGTTGTTAGGTTGTGCTTACAATACAATATGAAATATTCTAGTATTTATGAATGAGAGAATTTAGCATTTATATTTTAAATGTTTCTACAGTGCTTTTAACTTTTTATCAACTGTGTTCAGTCAGTCCATGATAAACTATGATTTCCAACTTATTTTGCTTTATTACGCAGTTATTTTACTCATTGAATTCAGAGAATAATTCTTTATGGTTTGGAACCAAATAAAATTTATATTAACATAACTATAAAAATAAATGTTCAAGGATTCTCTTAAATGGTTGTTTTAATGAAATTGTGTAGTATCTAGGTGTTTTCTCTTACTAAATGTACTTGTGACAATATTTGGGTTCGTAAAATCCAATCCAATTTTGGAGGTTTTTTAATTGTTGGTTTTGGGGGGGTTCTTTCTTTAGTTTTTATTACTAAATATATATATGTTTTTTTGCAGCTGGTTTTAGGAGAAGTTTCCGTCTTAGTAGAAAAGATAAGAAAACAAATAAGTCCATGTATGAATGCAAGAAGAGTGACCAGTACGACACAGCTGATGTACCCACATATGAGGAAGTGACACCGTATCGGCGGCAAACGAACGAAAAATACAGACTTGTCGTCCTGGTTGGTAAGTGTGCCTTTGGTGTTAATTCTGACGAAACAACTGAGGTAGGAAGTGTTTAACTTCAAAGAGCATGGTGCTTGAAGATTTCAAGCCACAGAAAATCTCATTTTTGAATACCTTTTGTGTGGTCTCTACAATGACATTTTCAGTCTTTTGTATCCATATGACATTCATGAGACTTAAGAGACATGTGGAGAATGGTATTGACATTTGAGTGGGATCTCTGAGATGGGGGATAGCAAACACATCACAATGTATTAAGGAAATTGGGGTAACTAAATAATAGAAACAAATACTTTTTTAATATAACACAAGTTTCTTTTAAATCATTTCGAGGTAGTAGCTATGGTAGAAGCTTCTTAGGGCATTTAGATGTTAAGTGAAATTAACTATTTCAGCAGAGTTCTAGGATATTTACAGCTGGAGAGTCAGTTAATGAAACTGCTTAAAGTAGTTAATATACGTGGTGATTTCCACAGACATTGGCTGGTCTGACTCATATTCACGTTCTGGCATTTGTCTTGTCCAGCCTTCACAGACATGTGCAATCAATCACGACCTCAGGGTTACTCCATCCACCTCATCCTCATTCACATCTCTTTTTAAAGATCTTTATTTATTTAAGAGATAGCATGAGCAGGGGCAGAGGCAGAGGCAGAGGGAGCAGCAGACTCCCCTCTGAGCAGGGAGCCCAATGCAGGACTCGATCCTAGGACCCAGGGAACATTACTTGAGTGGAAGGCAGACGCTTAACCCACTGAGCGACCCAGGTGCCCTCGTTTACATTTCTTTAAAAATTTGGTGAAAGGTAATTAAGGTCCAAGGATCAAAACCAATGATTTGGGAGGGAAAAAGAGGAATAAAGGAGCTTGGTGTCTCTTGTTGATTATTCCTTTATAAACTGAAGATGACCATTATGGGGATGAGAATAAGTGGAAAAGCTAAAGAACCACCCTTTCTGTTGACATGGCGTCCTTTGAAAGGTTACAGCACATGGATGGTGGTGATGCGCGGGAAATGATGCAGTTTCTCACACCCGATGACACTGGAAGTGGCCCCTAGCATCATCAGATGTTCACATTGTTGGCATTATTTAGAAAAATATATACTTCAGAGTTTCCCTTACTAACAGTGTTTCCTTCTTCTAATCTATGTGCATGAAAGCCCCCCCAAACCCCACCTGGAGGAATATTCTCCGTCGATTTCTGTGTATACTGTAGAGCCTGCAATGACCCAGCTTCCAGTCCCCATAGAATTGGGCTAATGAGAGTATAAGCATTCCCCGTTCTAAATCCTTTTGTGCCTCATGGGGGCTACTTGGACCTCCTGCTCCTCTTCTACCCCATTGTCCCTCCCAGCACCCATCTTAGCATCATCTCTTCCATCCCCTTGCATCTTCTGCTCTTCAGCAAAGGTCTGCTTCTCACCCGAAGAGAGAGACTCACCTTGTGATAAAAAGGCAAAGACAGCATGATTTCCCGGTTCCCCTTAAATCTAGATGACTCTCTGTAGCCAAGAAGTTACTATTATGACTGTGCTACTTTTGGTTTCCCTGAGGGGATCTAATTGAAAGAGGAAAGTAGAATAAACTTTGCTCTTTTTTTTCTTTCCTGTAGATGCTAACCTCGGGGGTGAGGAAGGGAAGATAGATGAAGATAAACTGAGTAGTAATGCAGGAATGAATAAAAGCAAATCGTAGTCACAATTATGAAAAAGAAATATTCATTCTTTAGAATCTTCCAAAGGAAAAGGGGATAGGGGAATGCTGATCTCATACAGGTTAGAAATAGCCATGCAGTTCTGTTAAATGGTACTATATACAGATGTCATCATTCCTCCCTATAGTTCTTTAAGGAAATTTCTAGTATCTTTTTTGTGGATGCCTTGCATTTTTTTATGTAGATAATCTTGTTATCTGTGACCAGAGATAATTTTTATTTTTTTGTAGGTGTTTTATTGTATATTCATATTGTATTCTCTCCTCTCTTTAGGCTCTCCAGTATGATGATAAATAAATGGGAGTGGTGAGAACATCTTTGCTTTGTTCTCAGTCTTAGGGAGAAAGTATTCAGTCTTTCACCACGAAGTATGATATTAGGTGTAGGTTTTTTTGTAGGTGCCCTTTACCAGCTTAAGAAAATACCCTTCTATTATTAGTTTGCTGAGAGTGTTTATCATGAATTGATGTTGAATTTTGTCAAGTGAATTTTTTTCTGCATCTATTGAGATGATTATATGGTTTTTCTTATTTGATCTGTTGAAATGGTGAATTGCATTGATTGATTTTTCTTTTAAAGATTGTATTTAATTGAGATAGAATGAAAGAGAGAGAGTACAAGGTGGGGAGGCAGAGGGAGAGGGAGAAGCAGGCTCCCCACTGAGCAGGGAGCCTGATGCGGGGCTTGATCCCAGGACCCCAGGATCATGACCTGAGCTGTAGGCAGACACTTAACTGACTGAGCCATCCAGGCACCCCTGCATCAATTGATTTTTGTGTGTCCAATGAGCTTTGCATAATGTATTAGCTTTTTGCACAGTACTAGATTCAATTTGCTGGTCTGTAGTTTTCTTATAATGCTTTTTGTTTGTATCAAGGTAATGCCATATTCATAAATGTGTTGGAGAGTGTTTTCTCCTCTTCACTTTTCTGGGAGAGCTTGTGTAGAATTAGTATTATTTTCCTTTAAAATGTATCAAAGAATTACACGGCAAAACCACGCTGTGGCATCTTTTCTGGGAGATTTTTAGCTACATACTTAATTTCTTTAAAACAAATTGAAGAAGAGAGGAGGAAAGGGGAGAGGGAGAGAACATGTGAGAGAGTGCATCTTTGTACCTTTATACACACACACACACACATACACACACAAGACTATTCAACAAGCTTTGGCAGTTTGTGTCTTTGAATTTGTCTGTTTCACCTAAGTTGCCAATTGTATAAGCATAAAGTTGTTCATAATATTCCCTTATTATCATTTAACTCTCTGTAAGGTCTGTAGTAATGTCTCCACTTTCATTCTTGTTATTGGTAATTTGTGTCTTCACTCTAGATCAGGTACGTACGTATTGCTGCATAACAAGTTCTTAGAGTTAATTCTTGTGTGAATTATGTAAGAGTCAAAGTTTAAGTCTTCATAATCTGTATATTCATAGCTAGTTTACTACAAACTTAGTGACTTTAAAATAGCACATACTTATTATCTGAAAGTTTCTGCAGGTCAGAATTTGGAGAGTTCGGGCATGACTTAGCTGGGTCATCTGCTTCAGGATCTCTCATAAGGCTACACTCAAGTCTTGGCCAGAGGTAGGCGTCTCAGTTTGAATGCTAGACTGATAAAGGATCTACTTCCAAAACCAGGTGCTTGTTGGCAAAGTTCATAATACACCCTCAATTCCTTGTCATGTGGGCCTCTGCAGCATGGTAGCTTGCTTCATCAGAGTGTATAAACTGAGAAAGCAGAAGAACAGAACATCCCATATTCCGTTGGTTAGAAGCAAATCACAGGTTTTGCCCACAATCAAGGAGAGGGAATTGCACAAAGGTGTGAAAAACAGGAGGGTGGGGATCATTGCTGGTCTTTGTAGAGTCTACCTGCCTATGTCTTTTTCTAATTTATTGACCTTTTATAACACCACTTGTATATTTAAATTGTTTTTCTTTTCTCAATTTTATTGATTTGTGTTCTTTATTATTTCCTTCCTCTGCTTACTTTGGACTTACTTTTCTTCTAGTTTTATAAAGTTAAATATTAGACTATTGACTAGAAACACTTTTTTAAAAATTTAAGTATTGTTAGGCATAATTTTTTTTTTTTAAGATTTTATTTATTTGACAGAGAGAGACACAGCGTGAGAGGGAACACAAGTAGGGGGAGTGGGAGAGGGAGAAGTAGGCTTCCCGCTGAGCAGGGAGCCCGATGCGGGGCTCTATCCCAGAACCCTGGGATCATGACCTGAGCCGAAGGCAGATGCTTAACAACTGAGCCACCCAGGTGCCCCTGTTAGGCATAAATCTAAATTTCCCTCTAAGCACTACAACCTACAAATTTTGATGTGTTGTATCTTTGTAACATACCACTCAAATCAGAATATTTTCTAATTTCCTTTGTGATTTCTTTGATCTACAAGTTGTTTAAAATATGTTCTTTAATTTTCAAATACTTGAGGATTATCCAGATATCTTTCTGTTATTGATTTCTTGTTTAATTTCATTATGATCAGACAGTATGCTTTGTATGATTTCAATTCTTTTATCAGATTTTTTTTTTTTTTTTTTGGGGGGCCTGGAATATGGTCCATGTATTGGGCGTTCTGTGTGCACTTAAAAAGAATGTGTAGTCTGCTGTTGTTGGATGGAGTGTTTGGTGTATGTTATTTAAGTCAAGTTGGTTGATAATGTTATTTAGGTCTTCCATATTCTTAACTGATTTTTTGTCTACTTGTTCTGTTAATTGTTGAGAGAGGAGTGGAGTGTTAAATTCTCTATAATTGTAGATTTGTCTGTTTCTCTTTTCACATCAGTCAGCTTTTACTTAAGATATTTAGAAGCTCTGTTGTTAAGTATATGTACATTTAGGAGTATTATGTTTTCTTAATGAATTGAGCTTCTTGTTATGGAATGTTCTTTTTTATCCCTGGTAATATTCATTGTTCTTAAGTCTGCTTTGTGTGATATATAAGATAGCCACTTAAGTTTTCCTTTGCTTTGCATGGTATATCTTTTCTTGTCCTTTTATTTTAACCCATCTATGTGTTTATTATTAAAGTGGGTTTGTTTGTTTTATAAACTACTGATATGGTTGAATTTAGGTCTATTATTTTTATTTTAGATCTACTATTTGTTTTCTGTTTGTCCCTCTTTATTTTGTTTGTCTGTTCCTTCCTGCCTTCTTTTGGGTTGTCTATTTTTTTATTTGATTTTAATATATTGATGACTTTTTTGCTTTACCTCTGTATGTAACTATTCTCTAATGGATTTTGAGGGTTTTTTTAATCTCTGGTTT